GCTGCTGCTCCCACCGCAGCAGGCGTCGGGCACCTGCCACAGACGCAGGGGATGCGGGAAATGGCAGCGATAAGGATAGCGACGACACCAAGCAAAAGGGAGAGAGGAGTGCAGCAACACACCCCAGATACGCAACAAACTGTTGATGAAGAGAAAAATAATAGCATGCGAGGCAGCGGTGATGCACGTATCAGAGAGTCGCCTCTCAAAGGATTCCACTGCAAGATACACAGTTCCATTGAGCTGGGGCAAGCGCTGACCTGGGTACGGCAGCGGTGCCAGGGGCGATGCCTCCATCTCGCGCCTGCAGCACTCCTGCAGCGAGGCGAGGTCAAGTGACAGCGCCCTGCCCAGCTCGTTGGAACCAAGGTCTGATGACGCGACTGAACCGCCACGTGCCTGCTGCTGCGAAGCCCCAAGAGCGATGCGCTCCCACAAGCGCTCCTGCAAGCTGGTCTGACTGACAACACTGCCGCCACTGGAGCTGTTGATGTCACTACTGCTGTCCGGATGAAGGCTACTGGGTGCAGCCAGGTCCACTTCATCACCGCTGCTGCTCCCAGCACTGTCACTGCTACTACCACTGCTGCCGCTACTACTGCTGCTGTTGCTGCTGCTGCTGCTGCTGCTGCTGCTGCTGCTGCTGCTGCTGCTGCTGCGCCTGCTGCTGCTGCTGCTCGCCAAGACGCGGTTGTCAGCGCCTGAGGCCAGCTGGGCTTGCAGCCGCAGCAGACCGCCGGCAAGGCCTGCAGCCTGTGGTGTGTCCTTGCTTGTGCCATTTTGCAGCAGGTCGTCAAGCTGCGGCCCCGACTGCCCTAGCCCCGCTCGGGACAAAAGCAGCTTCCACAAGCGCCTGGCCTCGCCAAGGCTCAGCCCGGGCACCGACTCGTTGCCGCCTTGCTTCGAGCGCGCCGCCGCGCGCTGTGCAGCCCCCTCCCACGCAGCAGCCAGGGACTGCTCCCCTGGCCCGAAGGGTGTGCCTTGCAGCGCGTTGTAGAGTTCCTCACGCCCTGCAGGTGGACCGGGACAGTGTCTCAGCAGCAAATGGATGAAGCAGGAGCGCAGCATGCTGGGCAACAGAGGTGCGCGTAGACCAGACAGCACATTTAACCGATATCGCCAAACCGGGGCGGCGCACACCTTGAGTGCCTTTTGCGCTGCTGCCCGCCAAGCCCGCCACGGCGGTCTCCTCTTCAGACGCAGCAGCCGCTGCCAGGCAGCTGCGCAGGTCGCTGGCGCTGATGAGGCCGCCGCTGTACAGCCGCTCGGCCAGGGAGCGGTAGCGGGTGAGGTCGCCAGCGCCCAGGGCAGCGTCCAGCTCCGACACCAGCGCGTCGCGCTCGGCGGGAGACAGCACCAGGGGCGCCGCCAGCGCCAAGGGTGCAAACTCAGCAGCCTCACCCCCGCTGGCAGCGAGGCGCTGCGCGTGCAGGCGCCGCTGCAGCGTGGTGACGGCGTCGCGCTTGAGGATCAGGTCCCTAGCAGAACCGGCATAAGGAATAACAGCGGGTGAAGACGGAGCTGTTAGCGCCCAAAGCTGGTGCCATGCAGGATGTTTGGTGACTCTGCGTGCAGCGAAGCATGATCGCGCTCACGCAAGTAGTGGGGTGAACATCCTCTGGCCCCGCCGAGGTTCAGGGCCGGCCCTGACTGCGCCCGCCCGAAATCCACGCCACCCGTGTCCCCCCAGGCACCTGTACTTGACCTCCAGGTAGTCTGTCAGTAGATCCAGGGCCGGGGTGGGGGGCCGCACTGACAGGTCCATGGACCACGCGACAGGCGGCGGCGACCAGTGGGCGCTGCGGCGCCCCTGGAACTTGGGGGCGACCTGGGAGAGGGGCATGATGCAGGGCAGGGAGGGCAATAAGGCCTGCGTGTCCCCAAGTGCGTAGGACGGGTTCTGGCGATGGTCCACGTCACATACTTTTCAGGGTTCACACTCATAAATCCCTGTGCATTGATCCCAGAAACCGTGTTTCCAGCGCCACCATGCGCACGCCCTCCCCCTCCCTCCACGCCCGCCCACCTTGGCAACCAGCTCCTGCACCAGGCGCTCCTCCAGGGCGCTGCGGTCCAGCAGGGGCAGGTCACTCCACCCGCTCACAGAGCCAGACACACCCAGGGCCTTGCGAGGGAGGGGCCGCGCGCGAGAGCGCCCCGCGCGCGGCAGGCTGCTCCCGTCCGCGGCCAGGCCCCGGCCCCGGCCGCGCGCGTGTGCCTCCAGCTGCAGCGCCTCTGCCGCCACCGCCCCCGGGTCCAGGGCCTTGAGCCCGGGCAGGGCAGCCGCCTCATCGTCGTACGGCGCTGCGGGCAGGAAGGGGTCCTCGCCGTCACGCTGCGGCTGGTGGACACGCGTGATCTCCGCTGCGAGGTGGAAGGTGGGGCAAGGGGTCACAGGGTTTGAGAGTGGGGAGGGGTTTGGGAATGTAGGCCGCGCACTTCGAGAAACAGCATCTTCGCAATGCTGAACCCCAGCTCCTCATGATAGCAATACATCAGAGAGGTTGCACCACCACTGGCATTGCCACCAGGCCGACACGCATTCAGCCACCCTCTTGTCGCTGAGGGCCCTCACCTTGCAAGGTACGCTTGCGCCCTCTGAGAAGTTGGCTGCGCCCCTCGTCCATCCTGGCCCGCACCGAGGCCAGCAGCGCCATTCGCTCGCGCTGGGTCTTGCCTGGAGG